CTGATTCTGCTGTATATAGTATAAGAGTAGAAGAACTGGAAATTTTTCCTGATTGTATATCTATGTTTCACTGCATGACTTCGAAATATTTTTGACAATTAAAAAATAATCATTGAAGTGTTTGTTTAAAGAAGATGGAAGCACGTGTAGTCCAATTTTTTTTTTTTCTGAAACCTTTTTCTAAAAATGATCTACCTTTAATAAATATCCATTTTAAAGACATCTTTACGATATTCATTAAAATCCTTTATTATTATGTCTGTCTAAGACAAAAATCATTTGCAAAGAGCTTCATTTACATTTCAATTAATGTGAAAAGAGTACTATTTGATATCAATTAGTTTTTTTTTTTCTGTATTTGAGTCTATTAGCATGTCAGAAAACACAATTTCTGTAGAGACTCGGAAATTAAGATATTAACTTTCCTTCTGTTTTTATTCAATCTGCACTCTTTCTTTTAAACCCATTGTTGTTTTGTATTTTGTGAATACTTTGACTTAAAAAAATGTTCCCTAAATTAAAAATAAGTTTAAAAGTGAAACATGCTTATCATTGAAATGCAAGATACTGAATGCAGCTGACACTGATAAACAAATCAACTGCATTACTATCAGAACAATCATTAATTTATCTCTTTTCCTATTTGATTTACAAGTTTCAGCATGTTTATCATTCCACACTTTAGTTTAGGTACTGTATTCGTGGTTTGATGTATTCTGGTATTCCATCGGTATATCATACATGTTCAACTTTATCACCCATTTTTATTTTAAAAATTTCTTCAGAATGAATTAACAATGCAGTGACTTTTATATATATTCTAAAGAATGTTTGCTCTATAAAAACAAGGGTTTTCCACTGTTTTATCTGTAACTTATCTATCATTTCTTTTGTTTGATATTAACAAGGGAGATGATTTCAATAGAACAATAGTTTTATACTTCCTTTTGAAATGAAGTTTTTTTCTCTATTTTGTCTTACAATACTATAGTTATTACTGTATGTAGCCAGACAAGATACACTGAAATGTAAAGCGTGTTTTCTCATAATAAGAGTAGTTTAACATTGTCCACCATTATGTAAATACGATGCAAAGATTTATATACTTTGTTTTTGACATCGTAGGATAGGAATCCTGTATAGACTTCTCTATAGTGATTTGAGGCATTTCAGTGTTAACGATATCTCATTTGAAGATATAGATGAACAGATAAAATTATACATGGTCTGCTAAATTAGAAGTTATCATTAATAACTAAACATCCTGTTCAAATGAAGTTTATGACTCCCCTTAGGAGTTGGGGACATCGAACAAATAAGCACCTTACATCTGAGTTTTAAAAAATACTTACATTCTGTTGAAATCCTGAACTTTGCAGAAGTTGTAAACGAAAATAACACTTTATGAATTCAGAGAATAATTTCATAATATGTACTACTTCATGTTTAACATCAAATAATTAGGTTTTTAGAACAATGGTAGTAACAGATTGTGTCTGTTACCTTAGATTATATCTTCTTAATCAATGTATGAGATGATTTGAACATCGGAAGACTACTGTTGCCAAATATTTGATAGTACCTTTTATAAGGGCACTTGTAATAAAGTATCTATTTTGCCGAAAACAATAACATGCAAGTGAATGTACAATTTAAAGTAAGCTCTTGTAATATGAACTTCCGTTGATGTGATGTTAACATATATTTTTAATAAATCTCATTTGACAGGCATTGTTTAACGAGTTTGTAATTAGTATAAGGCTTTTTCGGAGATTCGTATGTATTTAAACTATATAAATGCTCGTTCATAGTGCAGTACAATGAAATGACTCAAAAGTTGTCATGAACACCGACCGTTATTTCGATTGTTTTTCTTCCAACTTTTCAGTTTGATTCTCAAGGTATTTATTGTTTTTTCACAAATGTATCCTAATTTCTGTGAACAACTAACATCATTTCCAGTGTTTGTCATGCTTTGGTCTAAATGAACACAATCTTCGCCATTTCTCAAATTATCAGGCTGGCGAGATCCCCAGTCGGTAAAAGTAACACCTGTATTGTCAGCTCTCCACACAAAATGAGATTCCCGGATTGAATCATGTGCTCCGATCCAAATGTGACTTCCATTCTTATCTCAAATGAAGTAAGTTATTGAAATGTACGCTTAGGCAGGAAATTGGAATCTCCCTCTCTCTCTCTCCCCCATCTCTATCTCTATTATATTTTCATATGTTAACAATTTCTTAGGTATTCTGTGTTTTCCTGTTTTGTCAAAATTGATTCGTTTGAATTTGATACTATCTGGACAAATTTTCATCTTTAAAAGATGACGATTATTAGATTTTAATTGAAGTATGTAAGTATACCTTTTGCAAGTGATTTCAAAAAGTCATTTTCAAAGGTGTTGTCTATTTTGAAGAGTCGAAATAGGATGAACGGATTATATAAACCCGAAAGCAGATATAATACAAGCCCAAACGAAAAAAATATAAACAAGTCTAAATTGAAAACAACGTTCAAACCTATGATTGCGTTGGATACAAACCGCAATTTTTATACGTGTGCATGCAAAACAAATTTCTTGGTAGAGGGGTCTAAATACAGCACAAACAACATTTTCCAAAAGACCAAAAATGTGAAAAAGTATATTTTAACAAAGCGCATTTGACTAGCAGGTCAAACAATGGATGTTCTTAAACCCTGCTGACTGCCATGCGATTGCCAAAGAAACATATAACAGACACAGACATAGTGAGCAAGTTTTGAAATAAAAAAACACCGTAAAAAGAGGCAAAAGGAACATTACCTCCAAAAAAGGGAAAATATACTTGCCTTAATTCACAAAGGGAGTAGAAATAGAGATTATGTCAGCGTTTGTAGTAGTGCAGCTGATTTTTTTTTACATGGTGATTGCAGTCGTTTTTGTGTATTTGAATGGTTACCATATTCCTACACTTAATTTTTTAAAGAAATTATTTGATGAACAAATTCAAAAGAAAGTGTCATGTATGGTTAAAGATACATCGTTATATGTAAGATGACAATACCTTCAGGCAAAGTTTACCTTAAATGGATTTAGATATAGTTTTAGGTTCCTTTGGGTAATATAGCTCTTCAAATGTTTCGGTTTTCTTGTATCTTTGGCTTTCAAATATTTGGTTTTGATCATTTTTGGTTCAAGGTAGATCAAGAAGGGCGCTTCGGACGCATACACTTTATAAAGCGTTATTGTCATTATATTCAGGGCGATTCAGCTGGTTGTCCTTTAACAGAAAAATATTAGTTGTTTCAAGATCTTGTTGATAAATATTCAGTATCAACTTAACAAATAATACATGATGGTCATGAAGTATAGATTCTAGGTACTGGTGTTGTTTATCATCTCAATTAAGTGTTATCGTGTTCTTTTTATTTGTTTTTGTATATTTTTAACCTTTAATATTTAGTCAATTTTTGGTAATATCCTTTTGGCGTGTCTCGGTATTTATACATCCCGCCATTGTGTTATTGTGCTATGGTCATTTTTTTTATTCTTGTCTTTCATTTTTGCTTATGTGATTAGTCTATAGAGTGTCTACATGCCATTTTGCTTTTCTTTGTCGACATTGTTTTTTTATCGTGATTAAGATAATCACACAATGTTGACTGCTGTACCCCGATTATTGACATTTTTCATTTGCTGTGTATTTCTTTTTTTAGTGCAAAAAGGGAGTTACGGAAGTGAAAACATGTTAAGAACAATTAAGTATGTGTGTATGACTAGTTTTTAAAGAGTTTCGTCAAGCACTCGCAACCCTTTCTTATTGTTTACATTTGCATCCATTTTACTAAGTTGTACCATATACCATCAATTCAAAATAAAATATACAATATAACATTAATAAAAAGAACAATAATCTCTTTATAATATATGAAAAACACATAAATAATGGATTTTTTTTTCTCTGGCAATGTTGTCTTGTAGATTTTGTGTATTTTGATGAATTAATTTTTACGCAAGAACGAAAAAAGTAATGAAAACGCGATCACACTTATATCGGGATATCCGAGTATATTATTTTCAATACTTTAGATTCTATTCTATTCTTTTTGTAAAGGTTCTTTTGTGTGCTAAGTGTCGATCTGATCAGTCTTTTTCTATTGATTTTATAATTTGTGTTAATCTTGTGCTGTTAAACCACTGTTTCATATTAGGGGGAGATGTTAGCGTTCATATACATGATATACTTGATTGAGTATGATACCTTTTTGTAGTGCCTGTCCTCAGTAAGGAGCCTGTACTTGGTTGATGTCTATTATATGAGTTTTCCATTTAATTGTGTTTAGCTATTTTTTTTTTATAACTTACCATATAGTATGGGTTTTAGCTTATTGTTAAATACCGTACAGTGCCCATGGTTATTCAGAAAATTTTTTTTTTTTTTGTCTTGGGAGAATAGTAATCTCATTGACAATTATACCGCATCATCTTATTTGATTTTATCGTAAGGATATTTTGCTAGATATGTAGAAGTTAGAATGTCAATAAACCGGTAGCAATAGGATTTGGAAAAGTTAAACAGATAGATAGATTACAAAAAAAAAGAATTTTTTGAAGCTCCCCCTTTCCATAAAACATGACTGTACAGTATGAACAAGATTCTATATTACGGCAAATTTCTTAGGCTTTCAAATAAATATTTCTTTAAATTTGGTTTGAGCGTTCATCAAGGAGGTAAACCTATGACGTACCAAATTTACAAAAAATTTTTTTTATTTACTAGCAATGGATTGCAAGCAATGCTTGTGAACTGTTGTCTTTTTTAGAATGTTAAACTGTTTTAATGTATTTCTTTCAGGGGAATGCACCTTTTTAGAATACAATAAATGATTCACACAAGGAAGTATTACATAAGTATGTGTCATTTGACACAAGGAGTTTTCTATTTTGGACATAACAATTTAAGCTAAAACAGATTTATTTAAATATAAAAGAAACTCTAATGTATAAAGTTTACTGAACTTTTAAAGTCATTCTCAAGAAAACTTTGATTGAAAATGGGTGAACAAGTTGAAAATGTATATGAACTACCAATGGAAGAATAGAATGCATCAAACTGCGAATATAGTACGCAAACTAATGTGAAGAATAATAAACTTGCTGACTTTTTTAAAGCAAATAGGAAGAGAAATAAATTATTTGTGCTCCTGATTGTAATGCAGTTGATTTGTTTATCAGTTGCAGTTGCATTCATTGTCATGCATTTCAATGGTAAGAATGTTTCAATTTTTAACTTATTTTTAATTCATGGGATAACATTTATCATGTTTATTGTTTCAAATTTTACAAAAAGTGTATAACCAATTGGCTTTACAGGGAACTAGGTAGATAAAATAACCACTATCATATAGAAAGACAAACGTATTTTGTACAGGGTGATAAATCCAAATACAGACAAATCATTAGGATAAAAATTATATTGTTTTCAATTTAATAGAAAGAAAATGAACCTTATTGCAGATTGAGACATAACTTTAAATGTATCGATTCAAGTCGTTAATTTGTCATTGAAATTGATATAGCTTAAAAAGATATCTAAGTTAAAACTTATTACGTGTTGCATTCGTTTTTTAATACATTTTTGAAACATAATAGAATATTGGGACTACTCACTACTCATGTTTCTGACGTTTTTCCAAGCAAACGCTAACTTTTCCTGAAAAAATCCAATTAACCTTACATGTTTTTGTTATTATATTGCCATACAAATGTCGTAGTGAGGCTTATATTTACAATCACGAAAAACATACAATTACTTCCAGTGAAGGTTTGATAATGTATAGAAACATTGAAATAATGTAATGACTATTCCGATTGGGACTGTTTATCTTGTTTTGGGAACATATTGCTTAACCTTTCGTTTTTATGTCGTTTGTCCTAGCTGTTAGACACAATATTATATATCCTTCGTTGACGACAAGTCTGTTTTCAATCTTGGTATCTCATATTTCATTTCTGCATTACAAAATAGAAAATAATTGAAAAATTGTACTTTTTGTTTAAGTTTTCATTGTAAAAAAGAGTAGATGTTTAATTAAAATGCGGGTTCTTATTTAAATGTATTGAATGCAGGACCAAAATTGACAAAAAGGCAAAAAGGGATCTCCTGGAGATGTAGGATTATTGATTACTTTATCCGTATTGATTTAATTTAAGGGAATATTCATTTTCGTACCACAAAAAAAGGTTCATTGTTGGCAACAATGTTAGTTTATTATAAACTGTTTGTTGAGGCTAAAATATCTGAGTATATTATTTTCAATACTTTAGATTCTATTTTTAACATCAAGTTGTAAAAAGTCATAAAATATACAAGGATATAGTTTGGTACACCAGGAACGCTCTTTGTCTAAAAAAGACTCATTAGTGGCGCTCGATTCACAACAGTTTAAAGGCAAATTTAAGTACAAAGTTGAGGTGCATTTCTTTCGAAAATTCTGAAAATATAGTTTTGATGATGAGTTCTGTATTAACCCTCATTTGAAGACTGTACTTAAAAATCCCATGACAAAATTTGCATAAATATATGTACGCAAACAAGTTTAATTGCGTTTTAACACAATAGTATGAGAAGGAAAGAAATCATCAATCTAAGACAGAATTAGTTACTCTGAAATAATCTGTAATTTAACATGTCATTGAAGGAATATTCAATACATTTTTTACTAGAAAATGAAGACAAAAATATTTTAAAAAATGCAATGGTATAATTATGTCGTATTGTTGCAGTCTATGTAAATATTTCGGTTGAGGAAAAAAAAACGGGTACAATTACACGTCATTTGGTTGTTTTAAACAAGTGTTAAATGATCTGCGGAAGGCGGGGAACTAAAATTAAATGGTGTTGCAAGTTTCCCTCGAATTAAGAGTTCAGCTTAGAATCATCCATCCCTTCTGTCAGTAGCTCCCAAGAACAAAGAAAATGTTATGCGAAGAATGACATATTTTGCGTTTTGTTATTTCGATAGATAGATAGCTTTATTTGATAAGATATCAATACAAATATTTCAAATGCAATAGTTTAAAGCGATAGCAGATATATCAAAAACATACTAAAATTATAAAATTATAAACAAGTATCGAAACTTAATCTGGATGTCTATAAAAGCCTTAAGAAATATTTCTAAAGGGATCCGTTTATGTTACATTTTTAACACTATCATGATATAGTTAGAAGAAATCATATCTTTGGTAGGCTTTATACTAATAACTGATAAATAGTACATACCTGTCAAGTACTAGAACATGTTAAAGTGGTTATGAACATGTTAATGTGGTGATGAACATGTTAATGTGGTTATGGACATGTTAATGGGGTTATAATATGTTAATAAGGTTATGAATATGTTTATGTGGTTATGAACATGTTAATGAACACATCCTGCTTAATGTAAGACGAAATTGATGTAATGTAGAAAAGAAGTAAACATCGTTTTTAAAATCTTTGACCAGCACGGTAACAATACACTGAGAGGTTTCATTTCGAATATATATATGATATAAAACGTTTGATTCTGATTTGAATCACTCATTTAACATCTTAAATTTGTTAAATATCAGAACAAATATTTCAGCATATATAGAAAGAAGTGCAAGACTGGAAGGACAGATACAACAATTGACAGTAAACCCTTCGAATCTTGAGAGACAGTTTCACTTATTACGTAAGTTAACAAAATACTTCGGATCATGATGAAATGTGGCAATTAGCATCCCTATGTTTGTTTTAAAGTTGTGAGTAGGATAAACCTATGGTTAGGATTAATATATTAGGTTTAAAGTTTAGGCATAGAGTTAGGGTTAAGGTCAGACCTAGGGTTAGGGTTGAAGTAAGGGTTAGATTAAGTGTAATGTTTGGGATTAAAATATTAGTAAAAAACAAATATTACTGATTTGTGAACGCATGCCATGTATTTCTGGAACATTTGTAAGAAGTGTTTAAAAAATTTAAATATCAATTTGTCTCATAAAATACTTCTCACATGGTTTGGTAACTTTTCGAGAACTGGCAATTGTTATTGCATTTATCAGTGTAATCTTAAGTTTTAACAAAATGGTTGATATTCATGTATTTACACAGATTTCTAATTCATAAAAAGGAAATAATAAATAGCAGGATAAAATTATCATGCCAATATAATCATAAAAAAAGAAGTTCAAATGGAATAAGTTAAGAGAATACTGCTGAATGATACTCCCATATAGCCCTGCTGAAAATTATTCTAGAAAAACAAGATAACATTATATGAAATAAATGATTGAAAAAAGTTCATATGCCGTTATATTTTGCAATTACAAAAAAAATGTATGGGTTGTTTGCCTGTAAGAGAGCTTTCACATGATTATTATATCTTTGTTCTTAATTGTTTATTCAATATTATGGTGTCTGGATGTATAAATACTCATTCAAGCTTGCTGGACTTGAATGGCGAGTTGTCTCATTGGCACTCATACCACATCATCGTATTTCTATTTACTGCAGGGTTTGTTGCTCGTGCTGCGTGGATGCAGTAGAATGTGTCCCCGTGCTTATAGTGTAGCAATTATGGGTTTTTTTTTTTTGGTTTTTGTTTTTTCATTTTTGTTCATTTATATGTTTCAGAGTTTAGTGTGACGTCCATTTTCACTGAACTATAACACATTTTTGTTAAGGGGACAGCTGAAGCCCGCCTCTGGGGGCTTGATTTTCTCGCTGTGTTAAAGACCCATTGGTGGCCTTGAGCTGTTTTCTGCTCTTTGGTCGGGTTGTTGTCTCTTTGACACATTCCCCTTTTCCATTCCTAATTTTCTGTTTGCCTGTGAGAGAGCTTTCACATGTTTATTAGATCTTTCGTTCTTAGTTGTTTATTCAATATTATGGTGTTTTGATGTATAAATACTCATCACGCTTGCTGGACTTGGATGGAGAGTTATCTCATTGGCACTCATACCTCATCTTCTTATTTCTATAGCACAGTCTTCTTACCCTTCGACTGTATGCATGTCCTACCCAATAAACCTAAAATAACGATACTTTTGTTACGTGTACTCTTTGATTGAATTTGCAGAGAACATTATACTATATCAAACATTTATAAGCTTGTGTTCTTCCTTTATCATTATAGACACTTCTTACATTTAACATGTTTACCTTGTTTAGAAAGTAATATTAGGAAGTATATACTAAAGAGGAATTAAATCTATAAGTCAAAAAGGGAAAGGCAATACTATGATCAAAAGAAAAAAGACATAAAGACAAACCACAACTCACAAAACTACGAAGATAATAAAAAATACATGAAACAACCTAAAAAACATAGCATCTATGGTGTCCCGAAGGGACGTGCAGTTTTTGCTGCACTGAAGGCAACTGTTGTCTAATATATCTATGTTCGTTCATTTTAACGTCATGATGGTATTTGTGAAACTTAAGCAGAAACGATTTACACTTAACCATTAAACACACGTGGTGCATGTGCTTTTTTGTAAGTACCACCCATATAACAATGAAATCCTGTAAGAAGCGCAAACTTTTAACTGATATTTATATAATTTATAGAAAAGGACTGAATTAATGCTTCTTGTTAAGATAGAAAATATCTTTTCTGCAGTTGGCTGCGGGTATGGATGGCAAAGGTTTATGAGCAGTTGTTATGACTTTCAATTAAGATTACGGAAGACATGGTATGATGCAAAGGTAAGATCAACGGTGCTTCAGAGCATACTTCTAATTTTATTGTTTATAATGGAACACTGTTGGTTAAAGTTTAGTCCAGAGAATATCATCAACTAAGTAGTCCGAACGTTTGTGTTGACATGAACATCGTTGATACGGTCATGTTCTGTAAATGCATTGATTATAAAATACTTAAGTGAGCCTTAGTTGCATTTGGCACATTTTTTTCAAAATTTCCGGTTTTCAATACTATTTGATGTCGCATTTGATATGGTCTAACAACTTTTTTAATTCGAGTATAACGGACGAGTCGTATGAGACAGAACGCGAATCTGGCGTACTTAACTATGAGCTTTGTATTTTTGATGATACACAGGAAAATGTATGGGTGTACCTGTACTTGTTTTTTTTTTTTAATTTGGCGAAAGAAATGTTTATAGAGAATTATCAAAGGCAGTAAATTTTATTTTTCATATAATTTCTAACAAATTTGATAACAAAAAACTGATTAAAATACCTGACTTATAATTTGGTAAGCCATTAGGTCGTTCGTCTACATAAGACATGTGTGGTGATCGAACCGAAGCAATGGAAAGACGAAATCAAATACAAATTTAAATAGCACTAAAAACAAAACAAAAATCAAAAAGGTGTTTATAATACTGAAAAGGCTTATAAAACCTGTTATTCAAAAATAAATAAACTATACATTCACAAAAAAATGACCTTACTAATGTTATTTCATGTCAACAACGTTTTGCTGACAATTGAGCTGTTGAAACCCTCTGAGACGAAACTTCTTCATCATTGGCATCAATCCAGTGGTTGTAAAAACGCACTAAACATGCCAGGTATAAATTAAATTTACTTTAAGAATATCTAACTGAATAATTGCTAGTTAAAAAAATAATTCTTTATTTGGCAAGTGTAAATATCTTCCAGAGGTCATACATACATCATACAATATTTGTCAATTAGAAACTTTCTACGTAACATACTTTTTGAATCTAACAATGAAACTGAGTCAATTTCATTTCATCATTGATAGGTGACTCTGAATTGATAAGAACATGAGTTGAATCTCGTTTTTAAAGGTCTTCGATTGATCTATACAATAGAAATTTTGTTCATGTGTAGCATTGTAATTTATATTATCATTATTGATTTGTTGTCATGGTAATTTTATTGTTTATTAAGTGATGCACTACTTTCACCCCATCGAATCCTTCGTAATTGTTTTAATTCCCACTTGTCTAGATTTTATTTTGAGTTATTAAATCTTAAGCTTGTGAAATCGATTTTTTTAACTTTTTTTCTTAGATTGACTGTCATACAAAAGGAGGATACCTTGTGAAAATTGACAACGCTGTTGAAAATTGGTTCCTAAAATCTTACATACAAACTGGTGAGTTTTAAAAGCCAGGGGTGAATATTTATATGAAAAAATGAAAAGATCACGTTATAAATTTCATGCATCCGAAGCGCTTTTCTGTGTTTACCTTCATCAGGAACGTTCAAAGCCGAATATTAGAAAAGCATGGATGTATAAGAACCGAAACAGTTGAAGAGCTATATGACCAAAAAGGACATAAAAATATAGCCAAATCCATCTAAGGTCAACTTAGGGAGCCTGAGGGAGTTGAAACCTTAATTTCTTTATAATTTATAAAAGGACAATTCTATACAGAAACGATCAGTATCTGTCATTCGCTCACATCCCCCAAAGATCAGTGCGAGCTTTTGCCATCAGGTGGCGTCCGATAAATTTAATACGTTCCCCTTCGTCTGTCGTCTGTTATGGTTAGTTTACTTTAACCGTTTGTTTTAACTTTTCTCTGAAACAACTAAGACAATTGCAACCAAATATTGATACAACCATACGTGTAGAGTATATAGATAACTATTTGTGTCTGATGAATCCGCAGGCCTACCAATGTGACCGCAATTGTTAATATCAGGACATAGGAATGAAATATATGTTTTGTCGATTATTAAGAAAAAAAGTTGTAGAGATAATTGACATAACAGCCATGTTCAGAATGTCAATATATCAATTAAACTATCAGACGACTCCATTTATAATTCATTACCCTTAGATTAAAGTGTTTACGACTTTTTGCGGTCTTGTCTTTTTATCTTAAAATGTATGATAAATAGAGAGAAATTTTTAATTACAAATTAAAATGATAGACATGAAGACATCTAAATATATATTAGATTACCTAATGGTCAGTCGACTATTTTAGGTGTCATTTTCCGTAAATACAAATGTTATCATTTGTCGCTTTGGGTTCTTTGATATCTTGAAAATTATGTTAGGGAGACGCTTTAAATTTAAAATGATCAACAAATAGGGATCTACATAAAAAGGTGATAATCGAAGTGATCAGTCGTATTTTTTTGAGAATTTAAACCCTTGAAAGAAGATTGTTACCAATTTCTTGCATTTTTTGCTATAATGTTGAAAAACATTACAAAATGTAAATAGCACAAATGCATGACGTGATCAATAAGTAACTAAACGGTGTCGATATTATTAGTAAACTTCTAATTTGAGTCATTAAATGACGATGATTTCATATGCTTGCGTTTTACGCTAAAACTATAGTAGATACAGGAAAACCAAAAATTGTAAAACAAAATTATCAAATAAGTTCAAATGATCGAAATTATCGGCCTAAGCCCTATGAGTTGATGAGTTGCCGTAAAAGGATGGTGTGTAATTAATTTTAGTGATTTCCATTTAATATCTTGAAACTATGATATGTAAACTGTAAGTATGAACAGCAAAAAATGAAGCAACAATATGACTGACTTGTTGCCCCTAAACCAAAATGTTAAAACCATTTTTCAATTTAGCGCTTTTAAAAATATCGAGAAAAAAACAACTGATAATGATCATCAATACAAGACTTTGAGCCACACAGTTTCCATTGAAACCAAAAACTGTGTCGCATTGTATCAATGGTAAGCAAACATACAAGGTGATAAATACAGGCTCCTTGTAGACTTTAGGTTTTTTTTAATTGTCAAATTGTTTTATATTGATGATTATGTTTTCTTTTGAATGAGAAGTTATGTTAAGTACATTTTGAAACAAATGATTATTGAAAGTCTTAAACCAATAACTGACATATTATCTTATCTATTTTCCAATGTGGTTTGTCTTTACAATTAATTAGAATATATAAGGCTTATGATCTATTTATAGATAACAACACACATAACGTTTGGATTGGAGCACATGATTCTGAACGAGAATCTAATTTTGTCTGGGAATCCGACAATTCATCTCTTTCCTATACTGACTGGAATTCTGGCGAACCTAACAATGAACTTAACGAGGATTGTGCATCTATGCGTAAAAAACGTAATTACAGATGGAATGATGTGTCATGTTCACTGTTGTTTTCATATATTTGTGAGATACAATGAAATCCGTTATGCCATACTCTCGTTGTTGACCACACGTACATCATAGTATCTGTATCGTGTCTTAAATATCACAAATATTAATTATTTGATTGTTTTTTTTTTACTCTGTCCTCTTACTTTGAAAAAAAGCATTGATACAACGCTATGTAATGCAGAGGTTTGATAGTTATGTGAAAAATAGGAAGATAAATGCTCATTCGCTATAAATGATAAATCTTTGATATTCTATTAATAGCATTCTTATTCGGTTGTCACATTATTGGTAACTGCATTGGAAAAATCGTCAAGTATGTCAATCTGATCAGAAGAACAACTGAATAACACATTTTCCTATTTTATATTGGGTAGTATTCAATTAAAAAAGATGCGGTATGATTGCCAAGGCGACAATTATCCACCAGAGACCAATGTAAACGACATAGAAATCCGAAAAAGACAGTCTAATGGACAGCAACATTGCTAATTAATTCAAAGTTGCTGGACCATGACATAGAGGGCAACGCTTCAAAATGATAGACAAACTGAGATGTACTGATAGTAATACAATTTTATACACATGTTAAAGAAAATATCCCTGTCTATCATAGGTAGTTCCTAACAAACTTATTTAAGCAGAAAACTTGACATTGACCATTGGTAATTAATTGAAAGTCATCGGATCGTGAACTAGGGGAGAAGGGCCTCAAATAGTCGACAAACTGATATGTACTGATAGTAAGGCAACTTTATAGAAAATACCATTGAATTATCACAAGTAGTTCCTATCCAACTGATTTAAGACTTAAACAACCTAACATTGATTTAATAAAATTCAGAGTCACTTGACCGTGACCAAGGAGGTAGGGTCTCGAAATAGTCATCAGACTGATCAATACTGATATTAATGCAACTTTATATATAAGTTATATTGATCTATCACAAGTAGTACTTAAGCAGAAAACTTAACATTGAAAATAGCTTATTAATTAAAAGTTGCTGGACCATAACTTAGCAGGGCCTCGAAAATAGTCGTCTTACTGATATGTACTGATAGTAATGCAACTTTGAAGAAAATATCATTGATATTTGATAAGTAGTTCATATCAAACGGACTTAAGTAGAAAAGTTAACAATTGTTTACGCCGTCAACGACGACGACGGAGTAACAGAAACCCCTATGTCTAGCCTTCCGCGAATTTCATCGCAGGCGCGACAAAAACTTTACCTTTTTGGTCATACAGCTCTGAATATGTTAGGTATTTAAACATTCGTGGGTTTGAATATGTAAGATATGAGCTTTTTTTAATGAAGGTATATCCAGTTATATTTGGAAGCAATAAACATATTAAGTGTTATTTTTAATTACTTATAACGTTCAACAAGGCACATACAAAACGTCTTTTCACGATTACCACTTGTCACCTTTGACACTATGAAATAGTCAGTTATAATCAACTGTACCAATCCTGTGACAGTTGATATATATATAAAATGTTAAATGCAAATTTTAATGTTCATGGCAGGTGCTCCGCAATTATACCTTCATCGAGTGAGATTTAATTGTTTTAAAACGCTGTCTATCTAAATATAATGGACTTATTTGCTCTAGTTCAACCATTATTCTACCATATTGAAAATTAATAACGCAGGAAAATATGATTGATTGATTGATTGGTGTTTAACGCAACTTTCAACACTTGTTGCAACAGTTGTATTTTGGTCTTTCGACTGGTTTGACTCGAGCTCAACTGACTAGTCAACCAAAGGTAATTATGTACAAGGTAATGAGACTGGTGTATCTTTGATTAGTTTCTAAAATGGTGGGCTGATGCCACTGCTGGTGGACGTTTCATCCCCGACAGTGTCACTAGTCAACGAGAATAACAGTTTATAATTGTTTTGCGCCAAGAAGACAATTCTCCTGTGATGACATAATATATCATTGATACATCATTTTTTGTAATTCTACTGCATGTTCAATTTTGGAACTTTTTGTTTTTAATGCTTTTCAAATACTTAATTGATTGGGTTCCCAATTGTTTTAACTCCAGTGCTATTGATGGTTCTTCTGTAGACTAAAAGAGGGACGAAAGATACCAGAGGGACAGTCAAACTCATATATCGAAAACAAACTGACAACTCCATGGCCAAAAATAAAAAGACAAACAGACAAATAATAGAACAGATGACACAACATAGAAAACTAAAGACTAAGCAACACGAACCCCACCAAAAACTGGGGATGATCTCAGGTGCTCCGGAAGGGTATGCAGATCCTGCTCCACATGTGGTAAACGTGCATACATGTATATCGTAAAATATGAAAGCCTTGTATCTTGTCTATTGGCGACAAATGTCAAACAGGTGTAACTTTTAAATTTAATTCAAGTTGAAAATGTATGTTGATAAGCTCTGTACTAAATTGTAGTACAACATAATTTTATTTTTTTACATGTCTTCTATGTTAGAAGATTGCAGATCAATTAATATAAAAAAATGAGAAATGCATGTTATGTATGAGATAAATGAGTCATATAATTTACGTTGTTTATTTAAAAACATGTAATTAACCGTTTTTCATTATGACAAATGTCTACATTCATTCTTAATAAGTTTTCAAAAGGGACATCCGGATTACCGATAAACATCACACTTTTCTTAGTAGCTACTTATCTCATTCTCATGAATACGTGCATAATTAGTATTTCATTTTATTAGATATTGTCGAACGAAGATTGTTTTGTGGTACACAGGAGATCATGAAATAAAAGCCTTGTTCCACCTCCTGTTTAATATTCATTGTATAATGATGACGATGGATGGATATTGAAACCTGTCACCCTACCCAGATATATTATCCTGACTGTGAGCCGACCAATCTCCTTAGTGCCGCGTGCTTAGCGAAGATACTGCACATTTCAATTTTAAAGTCTTTGGTTTGATCCCGCAGCGTTTCGAACCCACGACCTCCCGCACAGTAGGCGAGACCATCGTGACAGTTGATACAGACTTTTGTAGTATTTTGTTGACTTACGTGATAAATGAAATTGTCTGTCAATGATGGCAAGATTCGAAGTGTTTATTGTCAATTGTTGAATATTCTAGTCTTGTGCTTTTCGATATATGATATATACTGAAATATTTTTCTGGTTTTTAATAAATTTTCAATGATTCAATCGTATCAAAATCAAACGTTATATATCTTTGAAATGAATAGTGTAATGTGGCCCAGATTTTAAAATCGATATTTGCTCGTTTTCCACTGAGAACGCAAAATATTAGAGAAACAACAAAGATTGGTCTGTTTGCTGTAAAACTAATTTTGTCCTGATTTGATAACATGTTCCACTGTTAACAAAAGTTGTGACCTACTAGTAGGTAAACAATCCCTACAGAGCGTTTCATTATAATATCACGTAGAATTTGTTACGTAATGTGTTCTAGTTCAAGAAGCTTACATTAAATTATTCATTTAAAAAAATTATAAAAATTTCCTCTTTTGCTGGTATTTTTTTCTTTTCGGTCGTCGAAGTGCCCAAACACAGAGGACGACGTATAGATGTCTTTTCGTGTGTGGTGTCGTTTTTTACTCTTAATATTGTATATCCAAATCACCTTTTCTAGTAAAATTTATTTTTATCAAGTAAAGAGATAATTGATAAAATATAAGAACAAGGTTATGTTTTATAAAATTGATAAGACCAACAAACAAGGGCGTAATCAATTACAAGTATGAGCAAACCCGTATTGAAAAGTATAAAATGACAGAGATGACAAAACGTGAAACAATCCAAACAAATCTTCTTGTTCGTAATATAACTTAGTAAGGGGTTCAGTGATATGTGGTAAATTCCAGACTTCATAATTTACCAGTTATGAAGTGAAAGATCACGTTCATTGAAATATTAAACGTCACTTCAGACATGGGCATAGCGAACGAGCTTGGAAATATTCTCTGTAAAATGAGCTACAGGAACATTAATGTAAAAAGGAAAAAGAAACAATAGAGAACAAAATTTCGTCGCTGATTGTCGAAATTTAACATTGAATATCCCATGTAAAACTGAAATATCCAAATCATGAAAGGGCAAATGTTGATCTTTATGTTAGATTGTTTCTAAGTCAAAAGCGTTGCTTAAACATCTTTGTAACACAGGCCTTTATCCTTCACCTTTATTGCATAGGGTCCGTTAATAATACCTTGGAAGGTGTTTTGCGTTGTACAAAGTTATAGTAAGGACCAACTAGATTTTAACTAAACAGAGCTAGAGTTTTTGCAGCAGAAAAAATATCAACTCGACCAAGTAAATAATAGAGTGTCAAAGATTTCTTCTGCCGTATACGTACTAATTGGATATAACAGAGATAAATGTATTTCGCGACTAGTACCATATCGTATTTGATGTAAATGTTGTTACAATGAGTAAATGTGTGCCCGTGATATCTAATCTAACCCTGGTTTTTTAAGGCATCGAAGATGACTACGACATCGTTGCGTACAAAATCGCTACCAGTCTTGAAAGTTTATTTTCACAGATCTCGTCTTTCCAACAGCTGGTTTACATCGGATGACAGACAGACATATAATTATAAAACGATTGCCATGCTGGTCTTGCTGGTATATTGAGGATGTTGGATACGATTAATGTTCACTTGTAACTCTTACTTGTTTGAGGAGTTTCAGAAAAAAACATAGTTACCCTAGTACATCTGTAAAGATCTCTCTGTAAGTGACCAAGACTCGTATGTTTCATGTCGTTATTTACCACTAGTTCTCTGTATACCTTTGTTTTGTTCTGAATTCACCAAGATATTGCCTTGCTCAAAGAAAAATTGTGCATTCTTGGTGATAACACTGTTATCGTTAGATCGCATTCCAGGGATGTGGTCGGCATAAGCAGTCATACGGATTTTAGCGATACTGATTGGCCTGTGGTCAAAACATTTTGTCAATAGCTTGTTTGATAGAAAACAAACCAGGAAACTCATCAGCGAGGACAACGCCGGCATGATATGTGGTAGCCATGGTTGGAATGTTCTCTTTTTCTTTTTATCTAATAAGTCGTCTCATTTTGTGCGTCAACCACAGGTTTTGAACATTTTGA